GGGTGTTGCCCACACTGCAATCTCTTCTACTCCATTCTCCTCTTGGGATTTTGAACATTCATGCACATGTGCCTGATGTGATTTTCAAGCCACCAGGTCTGGGACTTGAAATGCTGTCAGCCACATAGGAGTCCAGCACTTTAACCACCGTGCCACCTGCTAGCCCCAAGGAAACTATTTTTTAAAGTTTATTTATTTATTTTGGAGACATATTTTTACTATATGGTATGTGCGCTCACCAGAGAGACAGAGGGATGCAGAAAGTGAGAAATCATCCCCAGGAAGGATGGCCACACCACAATCCCTTATCCTCCATTGTCCTCTTAGGATTTTGGGCATGCACACATATGCACCCAGCATGAGTTTAAAGCCACTGGATCTGGGATTCGAACCCTGTTGGACCATGTGGGAATCCAGCACTTTAACCACCATGGCACTGCTGGCTCCCCCAAAAGAAACTCTTCAGTATTTCCTTCTGTTGATTGCTGAAGCTAAAAATCTTCCATCAGAAAGTTCTGTTTGCTCTCCCTTTAAAATATATTCGAAATTGGCCTTGTTTTTTACTACTGTTCCCTTCCATTCTAAACCATCATCTCTCACCTGGATTAGTACTAAGCTCTTCTAACTTACATTTCTCCTTCACCCTTGTTCTCTTTTAGTCTGTTCTCAATAGAGCAGCAGAACCCTATAAACACCTAAGTCATATTAGGTCATTTTTCCTGGGGGCAGAATTGACGGTGGAAATAATAAACAGCATAGACAACTCTCTTTAGCTGTAATGGAAGGAGAAAAATGGGTGGCAACTGAAGAAAAAAATGTAGTTGACAAAGTCTCAGAAAGATGGGTATATGTATCTATAGGTTGATGTTAAAGATTCCATCAAAAGGGAAATTTGAAGATGAGGAAAGAGGAAGGAATTGCTGGATGAAAGTGCTTGAGTTGGTGATAGAGAGTGAAAGCAAGCTGCTGGGTCTGGGACTTGAACCGTGGTCAGCTATGTGGGAGTCCAGTGCCTTAACTACCACGCCACCTGTCAACTCTGGCAATATTCTTTGAATGACTTTTGTTTTCTCTGTGAAACACAAAGCAAGATCATCAGGGGGCCAACAGATGGTGTAGTGGATATGTCACTACACTCCCACATGGTTGACCACAGTTTTGAGTCCTGAGTCCGGTGGCTTGAAACTCATGCTGGACGTGTGTGCATGCATGCCCAAGGACTTAAGAGGAGAATGGAGGAGAGGGGATTGCGATGTGGCTCTCCCCCCTGGGGGGTAATTTTTTACTTTCCATCTCACTGACTCTGTCTGTCTCTCCCCAGTGATCACACGTTCCCTAAGGTAAAAGCCTCTTTAAAAAAAATCATCAACTTAGAATGAGGATGGGGAAGAGGCAATAAAGTTTTCAGAAGAGAGGGCAAAGTATGGAATAGTCTTTTAGGAGCTTGAGGGAATGTATAGGATAGTAAAATGTATCCTTTAGGAAACCTTTTGGCCCCAGGTTAGTGATCATAAAATTAAAATCACACTAATTAGGATAGTTGGTATGATTTTCTCCAGCAAAGTTCAGCTCTGCATGGTACAGACACAGAGTAAGCTGAGCGATGGCTGCAGTTTAACCAAATGTACAGTTATGTAAGAAAGAGATGGAGAAGTTGAGGGCATATGCAAGGAGTGATTATAACAAATGATTGTGCTAGGAAGTGAGGCTATGCAGGGATGAGGAATGTGAAACTGGTTAAGATGAATAAATTGTAGGTTCTAATAAGTTCAAAGAATTATTCTGAAGTTGAAATACAGTAAGTGGAAATCAGTGCAATAACTAAGATTATAGAGGGTTTGGCGCTTACTGGTAATGACAAAGTCTGGGTCATGACTATGGAAGTGAGTGACTGTAAAAGTGTGGAGGGCAAGATTATTGGGTCATATTATTATATGGGGATCAGAGAGCTGAGAAGCCAAGTGGTTGGAAATATTATTTTTATGAATATCGAAACGACCAAAGATTATGCTAACAATAGCATTGGAGAAAATGAGTGAGCCAGGTGAAGAAGGCAAGGAATGACAGAAATTTGACACCTACGAGAAATTCATAGATAACTAAAACAAGGAGAGATCATGATTGATATAGCCTGATTTCATAAGATTTACAATTGTATTTTAGGGAGGAGAGAAGAGAAAATAGTCTGGAAATAAATGGAAAGAGCAGAGAGGTCACATGCCTTACTTCCATTTGCTGAGGTAGAAGAGATGTAGGAAATAAGACAGTCACTCGTCCATTCTCCTCTCAAGATTTTGGGCATGCACGCATATGCAGCAGGTGTGATTTTTTAAGCCACCAGGTCTGGGGCTTAACTACAGAGTTGGTGGTGTGCAATCTAGTCACATTAACCCTCACGCCACCAGCTGGCTGAAACCAGTCATTAATATTTATTAGAGGTCACATATTTTAAGACTAAGACTTAATCTTCTTATTGACATTTTAATTATTTTTGTTGACTGTATAAGCTAACTTTAAAAAGCAAAGAAAAGGGACCAGCATGTGTCTTAATGGTTACGTTGCTGGACTCCCACATGGCCAACCACGATTTGAGTCCTGAACTCAGTAACTTGAAACTCATGCTGGGCGTGTGTGCCCAAAATCCCAAGAGGAGAATGGAGGAGAAGGGATTGCAGTGTGGCCATCCCTCTAGGGGGGGATTTCTAGCTTTCTGCCTTTCTGTCTCTCTCTGTCTCTCCAGTGAGCGCATACACCGTAAAAAAAAATAAATCTCTCAAAAAAAGCAGGTGGCATGGTGGTTAAGGTGCTGAACTCCCTCATGGCTTACCACAGTTCAAGTCCCAGACCTGATGGCTTGCATTCTTACTCTCCCTACCCCCTCTTTGTCTCTTGCTGTTCAAATTAAAAAATAAAAATAAGTAAAACTAAATAAATATTTTTTAAAAGTAGGGAAAAATATGTATACCATATATGTATATATTTATTATCTATATTTACATAAGTTAAGAAAAACATCCTAGGAAATGTGTGTACTATATGAACCAAAATTTTAGCAGGAAAAGAAATTCACATATTCTTTTATATAAATAAGTAAAAAAAAAAGAGAGAGAGAGATACTGAGGGTTTAAAAATACTTAAAGAATTCTGCTTCTTTAGAGACATTTCTATAATTGTGGCAAATTGTATCAAAAGCAAAAAAAAGTATATCTTTTTTGCCATGAGAAGGTCACATCTTTTAATTTAATTAAGTACAAACATATATTTCATATAATTTATGTGACCACCAAGTGGTTACATTATATAAACCTGGAATTCCACCAAATCACAGCATAGCAGCAAGTTTTTAAGAACTTTACTCAACCCCTGTAGGCAGAAGCAATATTATGAGTAGATCAACCATTTCTTTACATAAAATTTTAAGACTGCTAGATA